ATAACAGCAATGAACACTGACAACAACAGATGTCAACAAAGGAGGAAAAAGATGTTTAAATGAACATTCGATGACATTGTTAGAGACACTATAGTTGTGTCGTTGCAGCTAGATGCTAAAAAACTGTATTTAAAAATAATAAACTGAACTATCTAGTTAAGGCTAATTTGCTGTAATAATGCACACAAGTCAGGTCCCAGTGACTTTCACTACTTCTGATTCTGACATCTTGTGCTACTGCAACCAAAAGCAGCAACTGCAAGATAAATGCAGTGCAGCAGAAACAAAGAAGAGCCAAGAAGTCAGCAAACTCAAGTTCCTACCATCAGCAGTACTGCAAAAGATAACAGTTCACTAAAATGAAGCACTAAATGCAGCTGGTCATGCCTGATCAAGTGTATAGAAATGCATCTTTAGGGGCAGAATGCGTTGCTTCTTCTTTCAAAAGCTGTACAATCTTGCTTTAATTAATATTCAGTAAAGTTCTGTAAACAAAAAATAAATAAAAAAAAAAAACATGAAGCATGCAGGAGCTCACAGTCCCTGAGCAGAGGTCGGTTTTCTTCTGCACCGTGTTGCGTTTTGATAACCGTACAGGTCAGAGGGGTTATCTCAACCTTGGCCAATGTTCTTTTGGGATGAACATTCTTGAAGAACCTTCCTTGGAATAAATGTTACCTCAGTTTTCTAACAGGAGTAAAGATGCAGTCTGGTACGGGCTCGAAGCAGAACTCTACGGCAAGCTGTTTTAACATACAATAGCTCGATTGGAGATGCATTGCACAAGTCTGTAATTTAATTCTTCCTAGTCAAAAAGAACATTTCATATATCCAATCAGTCTAATTCTTCTAGGGAAAAATGACATCGCTTTTACTTTTCACGTTTGGGGTTTCTCATTGTAGATTTGTACAATTCATCTGCCGATATCTGCTATTCACATGAAGGATACTGAACTGAACTGTAGATATCTGAATAATGGCTAGTTTTAATTCCAGTTTGAATTATCTAGTTAAATTCTGAATAGATGTAATTTTAGTTTAAGATATCTTTGAATTTCTGTCAATTCAAAATATCTACCTTGTCCTTTTTCCAATTGTAAAATTAGGTTTCAATCAGTGAAAAAGATCATCTCAAACTGGAAATCTGCCGAGTCAAAATGTAGAGTTTCAACCAGGCGAGATGACCTTGCAGAGATCTGTATTTACGGCAGAAGCTGCACCAAGTCGGTTGTGAGGTTGACTTTCTTTTCAAACATACTATGACATTGCAGCTGTAATCGCATATAAAGAGCTGTTTTACCACCATGTCAGAGCAGCTTGAAGCTGAAGCTTCAGTAAATTTTGACCACAAATAAACAAAGATTTCCTTCTTTATAAAGGTTTTTTTGATGAGCTCTTTGATTTTGTCCAGACAGGAACTGGCATTACGTCTGCTAACACTGCTGAAACGTTTTGCTGGAGCAGGATTCAGTAGGAAACCTCGCATGAATTCAAGTTGTCAAAATAACACTTGAGATATCGGCAAGTGCTAGTATTATTTTTACTATTCAGAACTGAACCACAGACATCTCCAACTGTCATTTTGATTAGCCAGAATAATGATATAGATATGTCTAAATTTAACTCTGGATATTTAAATTTGGCTATTAAAGGTTAAAACAGCTTTCCATTGAAGCCTGTGTCCTCATAGTGTGTGTGTCTGAAATAACTCACACACTCTGGTCAATCGGAACTGAATATTCTCAAAGGACAATCGTATAAAACCTTTAACAAACCACTGGTGGCTCAAAAAACAAGCCACACCAGATCTGTTACCGTTCTCACAACAGACGACCAGTAAATAAAGGGAATCAGGTGTGAAACGGCACAATTACGACCCGTATGGCGCTGCTGCTAACATCTGCCCGTTTACCTGTGGCCAGGTTGAGGCGCTCAGTGTGACATGGGCATGCTTTTATTGAGCCAGGCTGCCATTTTGGGAACACTGAAGGTGGGGGTGGGCCAATAACTGTTGCTGCAGGACCCACTGGGGACACCTGACACACCGGATTAGTTGGCTGGGCGCTCCTCTGACAGTTTTTGTCTGCTCCCTGACCATCTAATGCACATACACACACCCAGGAAGTGTGATGCACACACACACACACACACACACACAACGCCCTACGTGATGCACGCAGACAGACGTGCATGCCCTGTCACACGTAGAATCAGACACATACCGAAAACACCCACAGACACAGACTCCCCGAGGACTACAAACATCACTTCGTGGGACGTCAGGAGATGTGTTGCTTTGCCATTGAATGTGCCTGACCCGTGACGATTATGTTTGCTGTCAACATCTTGTCTCTCCAAATCATCACCTCGCAATGGCCTTCTGTTTATAAGTCTGCTGCTGGCAAGCCGAGCCTTAATGGAGGCTTTGTGAGTAAAGCAACGCAAACACTTCAGAGTCCAACAGGCATTTTGGACTGACGCTGTGCTTGTTGTGTGCATAAACATGAGGGTTTGTCAGAAAAAGATACAGAAGTTAAACTGCCACTGCCTTCCTGGGGACAGATGACAGATCCACCTTCTGTCTTTGAACTCTATCTTCCTTTGGGAGCCATGATTTAGGAGACAAGAAGTCACACACGTAACTGTCTGCATGTGCAAAGTATTAGACAGGACTCAAAACAGCAGCGGCATCCCAACGAGACTGTATGATGTGGGTCACAACAGTCCCTTTGGGGAAGGAGATTTCGGAGGAAGCTACACTTCCTCATTTTGTTAGAGGGACCAGACTAATTTGATACCTGTTACACCTAACAATGCTCTGCTGGAGGCATCTTTCACGACAGCTTGCTCTATTTTCTTCAAAATCTGGTGACAAGGACAGTTTAGGATGATTTTAATGTTCTACTGGGACAACATGGCAGTGATGCTGCATAATGTAAGCATCAGGAAAAGGAAGTAGGCCTGACTACGTTCCCAAACTATCGAGTATTTTGTCCCATTTAGAGAATCAGAAGATCTCTAAATCTCCAAATCTGGGTCACAGGAACTTGCTACAACCAGGGAGCTTCTTTTTCTCTGTCTTCTCTACACAATATAACCTCGCTCTCCGTCTTTACGCACCTCGTGTGTCAGTTAGGAAGTTGCAATCCCCTCACCTCCCTCCTCCATCCCTCAGTCGCTCCTCCGCCCTTTTGTGCCTCAGCCTCATCCGAGGTTTTTGCTTTCCTAATGTGTAACATCTCTGTTTCCCCAGGACGCCGCCCAACCAGACGAAGACGACTGGAACCTTCAAAGCTTGTGCCGGAGCCATCAAAGGAGGCGCCCAAAAATAGTTTGAGTGTATCTAGCTCACATAAATGAATCAAAGCTATTCTACCACCAGCTAGCACTTCCCCCCCTCCCCCCATCTCCATCTATTTCCTTCCCTTAGTCCTGATAACCTCCTAAAACTTCAGACAGGCTCCAGCCCCCGGCAGACAAACGCGAAACTCATCAAATAAACTAACAAACAACAACAAAATAACACTCTTCAATTCTTGATCAGCAGAGGAAAAGGGAAGAAATGTTTGATGGGGACAACAACAGCGGCAAAGGAGGGGGCGGAAAGGAAAAGGAATAAAAAGAATACAATATGGGCTGTGCATTAATGTTTCTTGATGAAACAAAACATAGATTTGGATGATGACACTCACTTGCCAGTGTTAACAGGCTGCTCCACTGTTATTTTCTAAGCGGTTTGTGCTATTGTTAGATGAAGGCTCCTCTTTGGAGCGTGTTCTGTAGTGAAAAGGGCTGCATTTCCATCATAATAACAACTGAAAAGAGTGAACTGTCACAGGGCGCTTCCTCTTCTGGCTGTAATGCATGCCCCTTAGTCCGGCCTCGCTGTGCTGATGGATGAGCAAGAGAATATGCTTCTCTCAATGCCAAAACAAAGCCTCAGAATACAGGATCACTGCTGTGACAGAGAATGTCACAGTCTCACTGCTCTATAAGTCAACAAGAGTAAATATCATGGCCACATTAGCGACACACTCCCTGCTGTTTGAAACAATGACGATACATAGACGGAGCTTTTAGACAATGGAGATGGAAGGCGTTCACTTCAGCAGGGCTGCAGATTTACAAGTTGGACGGCATCGATGTAGGAGAAAAACGCTGGTGAGAAATCTGTATTCAGGTTTTTCCACACGATCATTAATTCAGGCAGAGACTTGGTGTGCTGTTTACCAAATGCAAACTCATGATGGGAACTCAAAATGTCTTCCTTTGAACAACCATGAACAAAGGGGAAACACATTGGAGAGAGAAATTAAGTGAGAGCTTCAGCACGAACAAAAATAGCCTTATAATTCAGGCCGAAATAGAATACCATGATTATGGTTAAACAACAAGCGGGGGAATTAGCACATTCCCAGCAGTGACTCATCGGGTGTTTGCCCTCGTTTAAAGTCTGTACGTGTAATGATGTTGTGCCTATGTTTATCTTGAAGCCGAGGCATGACTTCTAAACACCTCCGCATACTTTCCCACCATGAAGCATCCTCCCTGTGTATCCTGCCTGAAAACCTTTGCTCACCATCCACACCTGACTGGCATATTCAACCAGCCTCCTTTTTAATGCTGGCTTCACAGTGCCAGGAGCTACAATAGTAAGACTGACTGCGGAGAGCTGGATGCTCTTAGATGGGAGATTACTTCCCTCAGGAAGGCTGTTTGGCTCTTCCTGTCTTTTAGACCAGAACTTGACTTAATCACCAGGAATAATGCAGGCAATCTCTAAATATGAATGTCATGATAAATAAACCAGTGTGTTTCTTTTAAAAAAAATCTCTTTTAGTGGCACATGGGAGGCTGAAGTGCTGAATATTTCTTTTCCAAAGCGTTCTCTCTCCAGTGTGTTAACCAGCTTAGAATCTTAGAATTCAATACTGTGAAGTTTCTAATCCAACACTGATTTCTCCCTCCCCCGGTCCCTGCATCAGGGCCTCTGTTCCTACCTGAGGGGAAACGTTCGATGACCGGCTGGTTGTCCACCTGTAGCGTGGCGTTGCCACCGCTGCGTGTGAATCGCACCACGTGGTATTTGCCGTCGCTCACCATCACCGCGCTCTCCTCGATGGTTATGTCGTCCGTTCCCACGTTGAAGATCACGCCGATCTTTCCCCGTTCCTGCAAACAGAGGACACAGAGAACACTTTGAGGAGAGTGTACCAACATGAAGAGTTGACAAGCTTCACCCAGATACCTGCCAATGTACCACGTGATGATTGCTGTGCACTATGGGTATTTAAGATGGCAGCCTCAGTCTAATGGTTAGCAGTCTGAGGAAGAGCATTTTGCTCGAAACGTCACGCCAATAAATTGTATAAGGGAGCCTGTTTTTGGTGTGTGGATCGTTCTTCTCTTCTTTTCTCATTTTTGACATTTTGTGATCCAGCACCCAACCCAGTGGGCCTCGGGGATGTGCGTGCCTTTCCTTCTTTAAACTTCACCCAGATACCCATGAAACGTGATTGTAAGCAGGTGTATCAAGTCATTGTCTTTGAGCCACTCCTATCAAATCAAACTGCTTTTCTCTTCGTAACTAATATCTGCTTGATTAACACTTAAGATAACTCCTTCACCCTCTAATGTCCTGGGCCAACATCCTACTTCACATTACACATCAAGGTAGTTTAAAAGAATTCAAGCATTCACTGCTTCACTGAATAATCTGAGCATCAGAGCCGAGCCATTAACCCTGTGAGCCCTCGGCTATTTTCAGGGTAATTTCACTACCTTTACATTAAAGCTCTGATCTTGGTATTTCTAAGTGCTGTTCATACATGCTGTATCTTGTCTTTTTCCAGGCTATCCAGATCTTCCATGCATCATGAGGTCATCGTTTTAATTCGTGCAGTACTTTCCACCTTTTCAACCCATTTGCTGGTAAGTGTACCACACCGAAAAGATCTGACACCAACCTAGACAGAGTTCTAGCATCAATTTCTAGACATGCCCAGTTAAGAGTAGCTAGTTTTATCACAGTGCTTAAAGAAAAAAAAACAGTAAATCAGTCTGTTTTTGTGTCTACATTACATTGGAGCAACTGAACTGACAGCTCCACACAGTAAAATGAAGTTAAACTGCAGTCATCCAGCTGTGCAACAAATCCACACTAACACACATGACAAGGTTGCTCTTTTAGTTGTCCCGTGGCAAATATCAAAAGATATTTTTCTTCAGTCAACTAAAAAAAGGTCCTCACTGTGTAGCCCGATGACGCTGCGAGCATCAGATCTCAAACATCAGCCTGGTAAAGAACAGAGCACTTGCTGAGGACTCGGGCACCTTTAGTATTCATCAACCGGGTGACCCCCTCCCCTCTCCCATCTATTAGTGTTGACAGCCGCCCACTGCTTCGAGTTTATTGCAGTCAACCGCCTACTCTACTCTCTTCTCCCGCCATCTCTCTCCTCTCCCTCTGTGGTTCCTGTCCTCAGTCCCAGGAAAGGTCAAAGTCATTTACAGAGTTACAGTCTGCCAGAGAGGCACAGAACAAGGGTGAGAGAGGAGGAGAAACCGAGTAGGCTACATACCAGACACACCATTACAGACAAGCTCTCTGTCTGGCAGTAAATCCTCGGTTGCAGTTTTGTTCCGCACAGCTTTGGTAACTGCTGCCCATACCGACGGCAAGGAACACTTCCTGACTGTCACTCCGCAGTAGGTCAAGCTCATTTGCAGCTGGGGTCACATTTGCACACTGCTATCTGCCCACTGCAGCTACAACTCCATTGACTCCATTATCTCATTAGGTATGTGCATTTATTTTGCCACTTTCCATAATGCCAAGATATTCAGAGGTGAACGTGTGGCTTTTCCTTGCGGCGGTTTTCTATTATTCATGGCTGATTAAGTATTTTAAAAAAGAAAATAAAACACCCTTAATGTTAACAGAACTTAAAATAGCAAGTTAATTGAGTAAATAAGTGTGGGGGGTTGTACAGTAAGTTAATGATCAGTATAATCAGCCAAATTTATGTGCATCCTAACTGCTCTTTGGTGCTGTGGAAAGTGGTTACAGTACGCAGGCCAAGGCCGCGTCATGACCGCGCACTGATGAAAGCAGTGATTAGGGTATTAATTGAGCATGCTCAAGTGGAAGTGCTGGTGGTTGTGATTAATGCCGCACAGCCATCGACAGCACAAGACGCGGCCGAACAACCGGAATAAACAGGATCAACACGGAAGCATGACAAGAAACTGTTTTCCTCTAACTAAGCTGGACCTGGATGAGCTTCTCAGAGTGGAGCTTGATGGACTGCTCAGTAGATGATCTCATTCTGCTAAGAGGCTTGAACGTTTCAAATGGCAAAGTGCTTCCAGCTTCTTGGGCACTTAATCAATTGGTTCATGTTATGGACTGACCCTAGCAGTCTTTCTGCCCGCTCTCCCCATGCGTGCCAAAATCCAATTCAGATTCCAAGACATGAATATGAATGCTATCAGAGAGCGATTAGCGAGCCACACGTGAATGAAAATTTAATCAAAGGTTTGACTATCGATACCTTTGCGAGCAAGAAAAAAAACAAAGCGGAGAGGGTGAGCGCGATGCTTGTGGATGCGGCGGAAATGTCAGGATCATCTCCATTACAGCCCACGCGCTAGGAAGCTTAGAATAATCATAGCACCTTTGCTTGGAGAATTAATTCAATTTGCCAGGGCCAAGCAGAATGAATCTGTGCTATTACGACTGAAAAGCAGAAGGGAGAGTGAATTTGAGTGATATTTACAGAGAGATTAGCATTTGTGTTCCGCAACATTAGGGTTCTTCCCGGTGCTGAGGGAATGTATCGAGCCCATTACAGTGGGAAGCCGCTGGGAACCAGTGCTTTTTTAAAAATGATTTTAGTGTAGCGGTAATGACATTTTAATGGCCATTTCCCTTAAGCGAACATATCTCTGGAAACAGAAGGGGGGGAAAAAAAAAAAACCTCTTTGAATGACTGGGAGCAGTCAAGCCTGCAACATTGAAAGGAAGGGACTGGTAGGTAACTTACAATAAGCCCCGGCTGCTCTTTAAACACCACCGCTTCTCAACTACCGCTTAGCAGTCCTTAATCTGCTGCAGCTGTCGGCTAATGTCAGGAATAAGAATGTTACTTTTTTCGTCTTTTATCGAGAGGTGAGCTCATCTTACTTTCCCTTCTGTGGGTCAATCAGAGGCGTCGGCAGGGGGTCCACTGTAGACTGGAGGGATAGAGCTCTGCTTTATGATACATTTTCAATTACATCCGATTTAAACCTCAAGTGCCTGAAGAGGAGAGCATCTCTTTGAATTACTGGGGTTCAATGAAACATTCAGAGATCTACAGGGGGCTGGTAGGAATACCTACAGAGTGGAATGAGCTTCAACTTCAGCCAAAATTCAGTTTGTGGTGCATTGAGTTTCACAGAAAAAGCTTTGTACTTAATTATTATTAGATTTTATGTTGTTTATTTTATAGAATCTTGCTGCACTCACTCTGTTTTCTCTTTATTGCATTGTTTCGACCTCATAAAACGCTCCCAGGCCTGGGTATTGCAAATTAGCACTCGCGCTATAAATACTGCTAAATAATGACAGCGGTTTTCAGTTTATCTTTCTATACGGTATCCATCCCCATCAAACAAACCTTAAATAAATAAACTTGGGAGAAGAAAGGGGTAGTGGTAAGATTTTCCAAAGATTTTCGCTGGAATATTAGAATAATTATTCAAGCACAAACTTGCTGTCCTTGACAAATATTTAAGATCTTAGCACAACGAAAAGATGTTTTTCGCACAGCAGAAACTGCTAATCAGCTTCCCACACAACAGTGAGAGTTTTAGCTGCCAAAAAAAAAAAAAAAAAAAAGTTTCTGTAATCCTCTCATTAGAGTCTCTCCTTCCTTTCTCTCAAAGACAAAGAAACTTGGCTTTGGAATTCTGTGCGAGCAGCCACAGCAGAGAAAGAGCAGTGCCGGGATACGGCGAGCATTTCCGTCTGAAATATTTCAACATGACCTTGCAGCCTGCAAGAGCGCGTCGAGGTAAACGCTGCTGTCGGGAGCGGAATGAGAATGAGGCGGAAGCTGCAGTTGGCGGGTGTGTATCGGGGTTATCAGGCAGCCTCAGAGAGCTCTCGCTGATCACGCCGAGCAGAAAAGGAAGAGCGAGAGGAGGAGGAGGAGGAGCAAAGGGGCAGAGAGAAACACTGTGCGATAAAAGGACAGAGGGAACCTTGATGATCCTCCAGGGCCTCAAGGTGCTTTGCGATCAAAGCTTCTTTTGAAGATGTCAAGATCTCGTTCTTTCTTCCCAGCACACACTGGTAGTCAATTAAGAAGAGGGGGGGCGAGGAAGACAAAGGAGGGGGAGATGGATGTGAATGCATTTTTGAAAGATTTGTTTCTTTGTTTCGTTTCTTTACAGACAGCTCAATCACGTTGCGCTTCTTCACCAAGACACCCTACAGCTTCATCTCCACGCACTTCGTCTCCTTGATGTATTTGCATTTCCTCAAAGTCTTCCTGCATTTCCCTCTCAGATCTGATACAAAACAGGCGAAATAGAAAAGGGAAAACAACAGAGCAACAACGCTGGATCCAGCAAGACTCTGGGCAGAGAGACAGTTGTTTAAATTACTCAAGGTATTTTTGCATTTTGCTGTATCAACACACCTCAAAGAAACGGTCTGGAAAACGCGGCTGACCAGTTCAGGAATTTGCTGATGCCGATGATTTGGTTTGACAGATTTCATATTAATAGTCCCGTGGGTGGTGGAAATGCAAACTGTTCATCGGCTTCTTTCTCATTTCCCCAATAATGATCTATCACAGCTTGTATCTGCTTGAGCTTAACTTGACTTGCCAGCGTAAGTATGCAGAGCTCCAGTATTTATTAGCTTATGAATCAGCCAGTGAAGCAGCATGGACAGAGAAATGACTGATAAATAGATTTTTACTGGATGCCCGGCGAAAAGCAATCAATTCTTATGTGGATGCACACAAACATGGGGTATAGTGCAGCTTAATATCTTCTCCGGCTCCGGCAAAGCATTTTCACTCAATTCTGTGCCATGATGTTTAATTGTATGTGCTATTTGCAGTTAGATTTCTTTCTTACTAAGACATCCAACAACTGAGCCTGATACACCATCATATGAT